ATCAGCCTAGACATTTTAGTAATTCAGAAGAAGGCGTTTAAATGTTTTTAATACAATTGACCCATGTGACCTTGAAAATGGATAGAGGTTATTTATTTTAACTAACCTGGTAGCCCTTCATCCCAGCATGTAGCTGGTCAAATATCATTATCCTAGGCCTCTTGGATATTCAGAAGAAGTTGTGTAAACATTTTTAAAAACAATTGACACTGTGACCTTGAAAATGGATGAAGGTCATTTGTTTGAACAAACTTCGTAGCCCGTCCTCCCTGCATGCTACTGGCCAAATTGCATCACCTTGAAGCTTTTGGTTATTCAGAAAGTTGTTTAAAGATTATAACATATTTGACCCCTGTGACCTTGAATATTGGTGAAGGTCATTCATTTAATCACAATTGTTAGCCTTTGATCTCAACGTCCTTCTGACCAAATATAATCTCCCTGGACATTTTGGTTACACAGAAGAAGTTGTTTAAAGGTTTTTAAGACAATTTACCCCTGTGACCTTCAATATTGGTGAAGGTCATTTGTTTGAACAAATTTCGTAGCCCTTCATCCCAACATTCTTCTGACCAAATTGCATCACCCTTGACCTTTTGGTTATACATAAGTTGTTAAAAGGTTTTAGGGACAATTGAGTCCTGTGACCTTGAATATGGGCGAAGGTCATTTGTTTGAACACAATTGGTAGCCCTTCATCCCTGCATGCTACTGGCCAAATAGCAGCACCCTGAAGCGTTTGACCCATGTGACCTTGAATATATTTTAAGGTCATTCATTTAAACACTTGGTAGTCCTTCATTCCAGCCTGTTACTGGCCAAATATCACTATTCTAGGCATCTTGGTAATTCAGAAGAAGTTGTATAAAGATTGTTTAAGACAATTGACCCATGTGACCTTGAAAATAGATTAAGGTTATTTATTTTAACTAACCTTGTAGCCCCTCATCCCAGCATGTAGCTGGTCAAATATCATTATACTAGGCTTCTTGGATATTCAGAAGAAGTTGTGTTAAGACTTTTAAAGACAATTGACCCCTTTGACCTTGAATATTGGTGAAGGTCATTCATTTACACACATTTATTAGCCCTTTATCATCTCCCTTGACCTTTTGGTTATACAGAAGAAGTTGTTTAATGTTTTTTAAGACAATTACAATTGATAGCCCTTCATCCCTGCATGCTACTGGGCAAATTTCATCACCCTGAAGCTTTTGACCCCTGTGACCTTGAATATATGTCAAGGTCATTCATTTGAACAAACATAGTTGTCCTTTATTCTAGCATGTTACTGGCCAAATATCATTAACCTAGGCCTCTTGGTTATTTAGAAGATTTTTTATTTTATTTTTTTAAACAATGACTCCTGTGACCTTAAAAATGGATGAAGGTCATTCATTTGAACAAACTTGGTAGCCATTCATCCCAGCATGCTACTGGCCAAATATTATCACCCTATACATTTTGGTAATTCAGAAGAAGTCGTTTAAATGTTTTTAAGACAATGACCCCTGTGACCTTGGATATGGGTGGAGGTCATTTGTTTGAACAAAATTCGTAGCCCTTCATCCTTGCATGCTACGGCCAAATTTCATCACCGTGAAGCTTTTGGTTATACAGAAAGAAGTTGTTTAAAGATTAAAACATATTTGATCCCTGTAACCTTGAATATAGGTGAAGGTCATTCATTTAAACAAACTTGGTAACCCTTTATCCCAACATCCTTCCGACTTAATATCATCACCTTGGACCTTTTGGTTATTCAGAAGTTGATAAAAGTTTTTAACATATTTGACCCATGTGACCTTGAAAACAGGTAAAGGTCATGTATTTGAACAAAATCTGTAGCTCTTCGTTCCAGTTTACGTCTGGCCAAATATCATCACCCTATGCCTCTTGGTTATTAAGAAGAAGTTGTTTAAATTAAAATATTGACCCCTTGACGCCGCACCACGGCATAAGCTCACTTTGCCCTTTGGGCCAGGTAAGCTAAAATTTCGCTATTTTAGGTTTAAAATCAGATTAAGGCAGTTTAATATCTTTCTTATTGAGGTTAAGTGCTGCCTTAGCAGCTCTTTCTACTTTTTCATTTCCATTTATTCCGACATTGCCGGGAATCCGAATCAAGATCAGTCGACAGAAAACTAAAATTCTGTTTATACGAAGGGCAATATTGTGTACGAGATTGTTGTTTAAATTCCGGTTTTTGATACTTTGTTGTAGTAACAAAGAGTCGGAGCAGATAAAAGCTTTTTTTGTTTTATTATTTTCGATTTCATCCAAAGCTAGACGTAGTGCAGTTGCTTCAGCTGTGAGAATAGAGACATTATCAAGTAAACGGCAGGAAAAAGACACATCACCGACCTTAGAACTGTCGGTGTATAAATATCATGTGTAAAGGAAATCTTAAGATGTACTCTGAAAAAAATTCTTTTATTGAACCGGGTGAGTGCGAGATTTTTCATAATTGTGTAATTCTAAATTTATTTGGAGTAGCTGAAGTGTCCATGGTGGAATATCAGGTATATCATGTATTGTAGCAATGTCGACTGATTGTGGGTCTAAATTTGAAGATTCCAGTAATTTTTGAAACCGTACGCCAAAGGATGGGATTAATTTATCATTACGTTCGTAAAGGTGTGTATAATTTGAATTAAATACTGACTGTTTCAACGCTGAGGCTCGCGGCTTGTGAAGTATTCGACGTAAGTCGTTATAAACCAGGTAGGTAATTCTGTACAATGGTGCTCGAACGCATTCCACCTCTTAGCATATGTTTCCAAATCAGATGATAATAATAAGGATAAAACATGGTGTTCTGTCTGTTGTTAAAAGTTGAGAGGGATAAGGCACGCATCATATTATTTACCTGTCGAGGTTTAGCCAACATGTCATTTGTGATGTCACAGTATAACGTCACCGCTCAACCCATTATAATTTCAGTCAAGGGAGCGGGCTACTACTAATAGCATTTAAACGGGTAACATGCAGATCCGAATGCACAACCTAAAAATCGTGTCTAAAACCCTTTGAATAGTCGTAAATGCATTCATATATAAAACATTTGCTAAAGGATGAGTGTCTATAAGGCACTTTTTTGGGCCCTGGTATATTCGGATTTTCACCTCCTTAATTTGTTCAAAGATGTCCTTTTGTATCACATGCGCAAAAAATAAGGTACAAGTTTGACATAAAGTGCGTTTTATAGCTTATAAAGGGTGTCATGCAGGTTTAAATTCGATTAAGATGGAAAGGTATTTGGAATTGCCAAGTCTGAGATGTGTCCAGAAGCCATAACTCAGTATAAAACAAAAGGAAAGTGTGTAGTGATTATGAATTTTACGTAATTGTACTCAAAGGAGTCAAAATATAAATTAGAAAGGAAATTATTGAAAAAACAAAACACTTTTCATTTGAAAATGACCTAAAATACCCCCCTGACCTAACCCTCCGTTTTATTTAAATAATCCTTAAGTGACGATTGTCATTTTTCATTCTTTTATATATGCCTGTTTAATTTACACATGTTTTCAAAAACAGCAAATTATATTTATGATTTACCCTACCCCTTTTGGTATCCCCAAAATCCACTTTCAACTTTTACCTTAGTTTTTGCGCATACGATACAAAAGGACATCTTTAAACAAATGTTTATATCTAGAATATAAAGATATATACATATACATATATAAAATGTAATTCAAAATATGATTATTTATCTTCATTTTTTTGTTTGTTTGAAGGTTTCACGTCGTCGACACAGCCAATGTCATATGAAGGTGGGTGCCTAGGGAGACGCCGCCGGAAAGAAAGGAATTACAGGGGAGTGAGTAAAGGAAACAGATCTCAAGTCAAGTGCCGCATTGTGAACTGAAAATCATTTTCAGATTCTTCATTGTCTGGTAAGCGGAACTTTCAGAGGGAAGCCATCGCAAGGGTTCCAAGATTTCACCACTTTTAAAACATGCAGTTTGATACAGCAGGCTAATTTGTACCCCCTAACCTGCAGGGATCGTACAGGTTGCGAAAAATTGAAAAAGAATTGTTGATTGCATGACGAGACAGTTTATGAGTTATTTAAACGTATCACCCTCTGCAAATTTGGGAAAATTTGTTGTATAAAACTCGATGGTTATTATTCTTGCGTTGCTGATTAGGTTTTTTTGGGACCTATGTCATAAAAAGTAAAAAGAAATGTCGTGTTGTATTGAAAAAGGTAATTGTTAATGAAGTTTTAATTAACATTAAAGAATTAAAGAATTGTCTAAATCCTATTCCGTGATAATACTGATAAGATAAACTCTGCTTGCAAATTAAGACAGCTCCATCGTTTGACCGTTACGTGCGCGTTTAAATTTGAAGCTTTATAATAAAAATATATATATATATATATAAAACAAGAAATGAATTATAAATGTTCTATCTATTCAAAGTATTTTTTAAATTATTATCTCCTTTCTATTTAACAGACTTTGCCGATACACTGAATCTAAGAATCGTAAAATTATGCATGCATTAAATATTCTTGGTAAAGAGTTATATGGGTCTCTCCTTGCTGCTTTGATTTTGGAAACTTCGCTTTGATATACAACTATGTTTAGATGATTTCCTTTTGCATGACGTAATATCCGGATGTTGTCTCTCTAGACAATTCATTTGCACCAAATTTTTGCTGCACAGACGTTGGAAATAGGAGTCATATATAAAGCATCCAGAAATAATCACTGCAACTGCATGATGTCGTAGAAGCGGCTAATGTTGTGTCAACCTAAAGAATCGTCATAACAACACTAGGATGGCATTAATGTCTACAGTTTTCTCACTTACTGTCAGTTCGGCGGTGTCTAGGCATCCGTGTCTATGTGACCTTAGCTGTTGCGATGACGTGAAACGAACAAATCATTCTTGCAAGCTACTACTTACCACATGTTTATGTAGACTTCATGGCTCCTGAAAACTATTTGATCAGCATGACATTAAATCCAGATGCACATACTTACATGAGGTATATTCTTGCTGTTCCACTTCAGGTGTATTATACGCAGATTTGAACTCCCAGTTTTCCAAACCTGAATATCAATGCATCAATGCAGATATCTTAATATGTTTCGAATAGACAAGAGGAGAGAAAATGCAGAAAATACACTGGTAAAGATATAGTCAACTTCCACCGGACTTTGTTTTAACAAATAAGTATGTAAAAATGGTTTAATCGTCAATAAGGTTTTGTATGACAAATACCAAAGTTTCAAGAAATATAGCCACTGAAAGACATCAGATGATTTACTTAGCCACTGGAATTCCCGGAATCAAACTAGAATTGTCGCATATGGGCTAACTAATACCCCCACATTCCGGCTGTAGGGGCTTATTTTAAAAAAAACTAGGTAAAAATACCTTTTCGTTTCGTTTTTATTAAATACTCCTCTCTAAACAAGTATAATTCATGTCCAGTATTACAGTTGAATAACATTTGTTATAACATGATGACATGCACGTACAGATACGGTTGGTTCAATGTTACAGAAAGAAAACTAGAAAATGTCTGTAAGACATAAATGCCCCCGCTTATGGATGGGGCGCGACGCGACAAGACGGGACGGGATTGGACGGACATGGGCAACACTAAATGCCCCCTCATTTTATGGCGGGGGCATAAAAAGGGATAATTGACGATTTACATTTACATGAAACAAAACGCGACCTAACGTTGATTGCGTAGCGGAACATCCTTAAATGACTGTAGCTTTTAATAGAACGTTAAACAAAATAAAACCAAACATACCAAACTCTACAATCTGAGAACCGCCCTTTATATAATCTCTAACGTAAAGGAAATTGTGAGATGTACTATCAAAGGGAATCTTTGTACTGAACCTGCAGATTGTGGTTTGGTTTGCATTGTGTGTGTACTTAAGGTGATATGTTCGTAAATTATTTCATTCTTGTGATAGCGCAGATCTTTAAGGTTCAACAAGCCTCCCTAAAAGATGTAATAGTCACCCCAGCTTTCAACCCTCTGGCAAGTCATATTCAAAGACCCAAATCACAAATCGGAATACATATATGTAAATTAAATGTATTGACCTTGTACATAAGCTATTAAAAAGGTACATAACCAGGTTAACGTAGTCAATATTAAAGCATTAAGGTTGATGTCGTCATCAAAATAGCTCACCAGACTTGTCAATCTCTTTATGTTCTATTTCTATGAAGACTTCAGCCTTAGTGCCTTATTGTCGACTACGTTAACATGGCTATGCATTTTTGTAGCCAATGAATAGGTTCAATATATACAAATTCCCAAACGTTCACAAATTAATACAACAAAAGGTTACAGCAGATATTTTCTTCAGTCAATCGTTGACCTGCAGGGATGAACCGCAAGAGTATGCGATGCATTGTGTGCAATACTTATTCCTGGCTGCCGAATTGTCTTTGATTGGATTTAAGTATAAGACCCATTTTTATTGATAATGGGTTTAAACTGTAAACCTGGATTTTTCAGTAGTTTTTTGAAATCGCAAACGATATAATTATTTCCGCATTACGTATGAAAAAGTGTGTAAAAATAGGCAAAATTGTTGACTGCAAATATTGATTTTCTAGATTTCCTTCTCACTAGGTTGGTTTAGTTTTATTTTGTTGAATGTCCTATGAACATTTAAGGTCATTTAATCACGTGCCTCCATGTGTGTTGTATAAACGTATATTTGTGTACGTGTGCCGAAGACAAAGTATGTTGGTGTAATTGTCTCCTTGTGATAGCGCGGATCGAATGCCGGATCCCCTCCTTAACGCAGCATTTAGGAGGTTCGTTAGTCTAGTGGTAGGACGCCGGGGTCGTGACCAAAGGGTTACGGGTTCGAGTCACGGCACGGCACTGTGTTGTATCTTTGAGTAAGATACTTTACTCAGCGTGTTTCAGTTTACTCAACTGTAAATGAGTACGTGGTTGGGCAGTGCTAAAATTGTTAAATGCTGTCTGTGAGCGCCGAAATGGTAGCACCTGCTGTATGCTCCCCAGGGAGTTGATAAATATATTGGCTGGTTACAAAGGCCTTATAACCACGGATAATAATTTGTAAACCGCTTTGAGACTACCTACAAACTAGGCTGTAATAAAGCGATATATGAGAACCTCGAATTATTATTTTTATTATTATTATTAAGGCAACAACTGATTATAACTGTAAAGGAAACCATAGAGATCATTTCGTTCTTCGATCAGGGACTAATGCGCGTATGCAACCGTATCTAATTCGAGATGGAGCCACTGATGATGAATTGGATCACGCATCTGATTTCTAAATGACGATTAGAATCTGTGAGCGATATTGACGCTGTATTAGATCAAAAGGAAATCAAAGAAAACAATTAAATATATGTTTCAGATATTATGTTGGACACCGGAGTAATAAGTCCGCTCAAAGTGGCACATGTATCAATTTAAAAACATATTTCGCACATTATATATCAGTAACGATAGATATGGAAAATCGTTTACTTTCATCGTCCATCAGTAGCCCGGGTTTCTTGCGCAGTTTTGTTGTTGTACATATATTGTGCCACATTATTAAATGCTTTGCATTCCCACAACAGTTTACTTCATTTGTAGATACTACCTTGTCATAGTTAAGCATTGGAGATATCTACCCTTGGTTACGCTCCTTTTCTTTCCGCCTAGTTTGATCCGTTTAAAAAATCCCAGAATTTTTTTCATGAATCCTGCAACATACGAACATATATTTTAAGTTTTGTAAATACTAAAGGTGTTAGGTTCGAAACAGATAATATTGCAGAAAATATAGGTTCAGCTTCGATGGTACCTGGTTGAATATCTGGTTTACATAGAGTTCTGATCAACTACGTATTAGATAAATAACATAGTCACTCGTACAACCCTTAACCTACAACCAAAAGATATTAAACTGCCTTTTTTTCTGATTTTAAACCTTCTATAACAAAATGTATTTTAACGATTTGTCAAAATAAATGGTCTGAAGAATTAAACAGCAAGTTATTTGCAATAAGGCCATATCTACATCACACATGGCCATATTTTGCGTAAAAAAGACCAGCCTTATTGCCATGCATGCGATCAACCATACAGTCAAACACTTTATGATTGAATGCGCCGATTTCAAACAAATACGTGACAGATTTTATGATACACCGTCTTTGAAAAGATTATTCGATGCAGTTTCTGTGCAATTAATATATGACTATTTACACTCTATTGATCTTTACAATAAAATATGATATATTGAGCAGTCAATTTGTTCGATATTGATGTATTTCTTTAATCCTTTACATATTTAAGCTAATAACGTTTGGTTTGATGTGTTTATTTTCTTGAATGTCTCTTTTTACAGTTTGGTTTTATTATGTTTAACGTCCTATTAACAGCTAAGGTAATTTAAGGACGTGCCTCCATTTGTGTAGTTTATGCGTGCTTGCGTGTGTGTATGCAGGAGACAGGGTATGTTGGTGTGCTTGCCCCCCTGTGATAGCGCGGATCTGATGCCGACTTTATTGTGCTATTTCATTGAAATACCATGCCGAAGGCACCAAGCACAGCAATCCACCCGGTCACATTATACTGAGAACGGATGAACCAGTTGTTGCCATTCCCCTTAATGTTGAACATTAAACAGGGAATAACAACTTCCATTTTTAAGGACTTTGGTATGTCCCGGCCTGAGGACAAATAAAACCCATTGCCTTCCTTACCTGGGCTAACGCTCAACATTTAAGCCAAACGTGAGGTGTTGCCAACCAAGGCGCTAGTAAATGAAAAGAAGTTAGAAGTAGAAAGAAAGATAAAGATCCAAAATATTGTAATGGGCGCAGCAGATTTATTTTGTTCGCTTTTCCGATTACCACATTAGTCGCCTCCTACGATACATGCAGTGGGTAGGCCTAAATATTTCAATTCCTTCTCAAGTTGGACTCAAAGCAACTAACAAATGTAACCTGTTTCATTTGCCGATGAATTTGACCAGATTAACATTGCCTGTGCGTATGATTTTGCCAAGGGAGATAACATTTGTTATTGAAGCAACAATAGAAATTGTTCAAACAACCAAAAACGATCAACCAGCAAAAAATTATCAGCTCACGGTTACTAGCGGTATTGACAAGTCATGTACTGCCCTAGAAATTCTCCCATTCCGCCTTGTGCAACCTCCGGTACAAATCGAAAACAACTCAGGAGTTTGTTACAAATGACTGATATGGGTCACAGCACACATAAACAATCATATAAATGTATGTTTATGTGTGCTGTGACCCATATCAGTATGGCATATGTGTATAAATGTATGTTTATGTGTTGTGACTCATATCTGATCAGCAGTATAGCATTTCAGACATTTGTAACGAACCACTGTGGTAGATCCATGTGGTCCCGTCTTATATGATATACAGTCGAACAGCCATATCAAGCTACGTTTGGTTTCCTGTCTAATTCGACATTCAATTACAGAAGGTTCACATTCCAGAAGATGAAAAACCTCGGAAATTTAGCGGCTCTCCACTCTTGAGCTAGTAAAAAGATGGCTGCCGTAGACTCGCAGCTGAGCATGTGCACCGCGTCTAGACATTGTTCTCCTATTTGATATCCTATAAATTTATCAACAAAAATTAAATGACATCAGAAATATGGTTTTGTTTCTACATAATTTGGCATATCAACGTACACCATCATGTTGTATGATGGTCTTTCAATGACGGACTTTATTTTTTTACATTACGTCAATACGTCGACTTGCACAAGCTCCAGAACCTGGGACAAATGATCAGAATTGACTCCTCAAGTTTCAATTATTGAGAGAAAAAAACGTTGATTCAAATATAAGGATTGAATCTTGCTTTGGTCGATTTCATGGGGTGATTAAATTTGTTTCAAGACCAACTCAATTCATCACGCCATGAAATCGACCAAAGCAAGATTCAATCCTTAAATGATTCGCATTGTCGAAGGGCCGTTAATCAATACAAAAACAAATACGACCAATTGTATGCAGGCTCTTATCGGCCAGTTTATTTTGATCGTCCTCACTTAGTTTGCACATCATGTAACGTTGTAAGATCCCACAAAAGTGTAATATTAACATAATTCATAATTATTTCATACCAACCTTTCGATTGTCGTTGTTCATCCAAACCTGGCGAGGATGCATAACCTGCTGGAATGTAAAATATATTTTTATTTGTGTACATATCATCTGGAATACATGCGCACACTGAGAAATGTATATTAAAGTGTGTTTATACTGAAATATATATGACAATAGTAAATATATCGGGTATTCGCCAATTTAGTTTGATCGTTTTCACATAGTTTGCACATCATGTAATGTTGTACGATCCCTCAAATGTACTATTAGCATTTACACCGATTCTTCTCATTATTATTATTCTTTCTTCTTCTTCCGCTTTCCGCCGTTAAGGTTTCCGACACTTTTCTCAGAAACTATCGGACGGAACTTAATGAAACTTAACACAATTGTTCATCATGGTCAGGGTGTGTGCAAATGACCTTTTATTTTCAAATCGGTGAACCAAGATGGCCGCCATGGCCTCTGTTTGGTCGAAATTTAGAAATTGTTCCATTTTATTGAAAATTGGTATAAGGGGACTGCGAATTCAACCACATGGGTTTCGTTGTCATAGCAACCACACGGAGGCTTCTGATTGGTCGAAATTTAGATATTGTTCGTTTTAATGGAAATTGGTATATGGGTATTAGGGGACTACAAATTAAGCCGCATAGGCCGCCACCATCTCGGATTGGTCAAAAATAAATGTTGGTCTATATTGCTCCAATGTCATATGTATGTCTATTTTTGCACTGCGAACATAACTGCGGGGGTTTGGGGGACTTCTGTAATGATCCCCCATTACAATTAGTACTTGTTTGTAATGATTTAATACCCACCTTTTGACTGTCGTTGTTCACCCAAACCTGGCGATAATGCAGTACCTGCTTGATGTATAATATATATTTATTTGTGTATATCATCTGGAATATTTGGGCACACTGAGAAACTGAGAATGTTTTTAATAGTGTTTATACTGAAATTTATTTGACAACAGTTATAACATCAAGTATATGAATTAATTTCATGCACTCTGAGGTAAATCATATATGAAATCACATTCATGAAGAAAAAGTCCCTCTTTTAAGATTGTTATCTCTTTTTCCCAAGAATCATAAGACAGGTCTTTCTCTTAGGTCCCCCCTTTCCACATTTAGTACTTAGCTAGTAAATAGGTCAAATGACAGCATCACCCTCAAAGAACAATGTCATACACAGCAGTATGAAGCTTTGATCAAAAGTTACAATAAGGTGCATGTACTGTTAAACATGACTCAGTCCAACAGATGAATGCAGAGAAAATACCAATTTTACTTAAAACCTTTAAAGATGGTACGATGGTGGGCGTCAGGAACCCTCTTACGGATCTCTTGTTTGTGTATCATAACTAAACAGTAACATGCTTATTGAGTAATTCATTGAAATGTTACATCCTGCCGTAGAAAAAGGTTGATTCAAACTTGAAATCACTGATAGGGCCACATCCCTGTAGGTCGGAGATAAAGAAAAGACAACGCCTGCTTTTGTAACACACCACTGCAGTCCCAGGACTAGTACCAACAATGTAACTTTAAAATGATAGTTTCTTTTTCCTGCTAAACGTTCAGCTTGAGCTAATCGCTAAAACTCGTTAACATATTGTCTGTATAATGTGTCCGGCTGAAATATGTTGCTTGGTGGCGTCGGCATGGTATAACAGTGAGATATCACTCGAAATCGACATCAGATCTGCGCTTTCACAGGAAGGCAAGTACATTAATATATTTTCTCTAGAGCACATCAACGCATATGTGACACGACCTTTGAGGAACAAATTATGTAAAGCACTTAACCCAATAAAACTAGTATCAATGGTAACTTCAATGGATTGCAAAACAAAACAAAACGACAACATTTTCAAAAATGCTACCATTTCGTATGTTGGTACAGAAATACGATTATCGATGAGTTGGATATCAAAAGCTTCTACAGGTTCGGGGAAAGAATGGACTTTTATCACACTGAATTTGGTAGAGCAAACTCATTTCAATCCCTAAATAGTGTCAGGGGTTTTCTTCCTTTTATACTACCAAGACGACGCCCAAGAAACCAAAATTATTCTGCTGGCCTCATGGCAACCCTTTGAAAAATATTCTTTCCTTTCTGAATTTCCCTACATTTTCCTTTCGGTGTTGTTTCCCTAGGCGCCCGTCTTCATGTTATCGAAGACGTCCAACTCCAATCAAGCATCGAATAACACTAATATTTTTTTCAACTGGAACACCTTACTTGGCAATGCCTCGCATTTGGCCTTTGTCTTTATTTGCCCCATCATCAGCGGACTCGTTTGCAAACCAATCATTGTAATAATAATGTTCAATATTACCGAAATAGTTAATGTATCAATTATATGAAAATATGTATGCTTATTGGAAAGGAAAACCATTTGATTTCGTGATTCTTACGGTGGACAGGTGCAGCCTCATCATCCTCATATATAGAATCGGAACTGATGTTGGTTTGCGAATAGGGTCGTTCTGGAATGTCACTGAACCCGAAATTCCATGATTTCCATCGATTTGGTCTATACATCTGTTGTGTATGATAGCATTTCAGCAGCAATCTGCAAAATATATTTGACATCGAATACTAGTAAGACATATCAATAAAAGCAAAGTGTCATGCACCGTTTAAAAATAACCGCCGTTGGGGGACAGTTTCTTCACCATCAATGTTATTATTTACATTCAACTGATTTATACTAAAAAATATGGTATCCTGTTCTACAACAATTTCGTTTGCTTTTGAGTTTTGTTTTGTCTTCTATACTTTTAAAACCGTAGTTAACGTTTGGAGTATTCCTTGTTGTGAACGTCTATTTTTAGTGTTGATAGTCCCTTAATGAATTAAATGAAGATGTCCCGTAAATCAACATGGGCCTTAACGGTCACCTGCTATATTTATACAGAGAGTTGATTTTGTTTTTAACATGAACAGAAATATTATTCAAAGTGACAAAAAACAATAAAACCACCTTATTCAATATCTAGCATACAGATATAAGGCTAAAAAGTATTTGAAACTAGCACCTCTGATTCTAAACAAGGAAAATGAAGAAATATAAGCACACTGACTCCTTTGGGCCCCACCCTACAGCCCTTGGGGGTAGGGCTGGCTCAACATTTTCAAAGTATCAAACTGTCAACTCAAGGTTATACTTCCAATCAAGTTATTAACATGTAATATTCAAAGTTTCATTTGCCATTATAAACCATAATAAAGTCGCTCCTTCCCCGGGGGCTAAACGTGAGACCCCAGGGTCATGAAATTCACAATGTTGGTAAAGCGCCTTAAGACCCTTCCATCTATGAAGAGTATTTGATTCTACCATATCTTTGTTTTGAGAAGAAGATTTTTGAAATTTCAGTCAATTCATCCCTTTTTGGCCCCACCCATCAGCCCCGGGGGGTCATTCAGGGCTCATATGTGCATACTATCAAACTGCTACCTAATACTGATAATGCTAACCTAAATTGAATTACTTCCAATGGAAATTAAACAAATGGAGGTCCAAATTGTGATTTCCTTCTATAAACTATAGTAAAGTTTACCCCCTCCCCAGGGGGAAACGTGACACCCCAGGGTCAAGAAATTCACAATTTTGGTAAAGCACCTTAAGACCCTTCCATCTATGAAGAGTATTTGATTCTACCATATCTAGATCTGGAGAAGAAGATTTTTTTAAATTGTAGTCAATTTGACCCTTTTTTGCCCCGCCCCTCAGGCCCCTGGGGTCTTGGGACTAAACCGGCAACTATTTTTGTTAACCTTTGTCCATGGAAGGTTCATGCAAACTTCATTGAAATTGGTTCAGGGTTTTTTGAGAAGAAGTCGAAAATGTAAATTGTTTACGGACGCACGACGGACGACGGACGACGCCGAACAAAAGGCGATCGCAATAGGTCACTTGAGACTTTGTCTGCTAAACGTTCAGCATTTATGGTTAACCCGTTGTCAGTATAATGTGACTGGTTTTGATATCGTGCTGGTTGCTTACAGATGGGTATTCATTGCGGAAGAGATAATGTAAGGAGACAGATACAGCAATGTACCCTGCCTCAAGGACAATAGAATACAATTAATATACGAGGTCTGTCAATATATGAATTTGCTACTGATAGGACGCTGGACAAAACAAATCGGTTGTGTATCCCCATTGCATCCTGATACACCGACATACCCTTCCCTCAGCACACATGCGTTATACAAACGGAGGCACGTCCTTGAGTGACTTAAGCTGTTGATAGGATGTTAAACAAAATAAAACTAAACTAATCCTTGCATCCATCTTCATACCATATTTGATGTTACGAACATTGGTCATACTTTGTTTATCTGTCTCACAACTCGGTATGTATAATTAAGGTTTGGTTTTATAGAGCTTGACATCCTTTCAACAGCTAAGGTCATTCAGTCTGTGTGTTCTGAAGGTGTGTATGTGTGCCGGAGGCAGGGCATGTTGGTGGCATTGCCTCCTTTTGATAGCGCGGATCTGAAGCCGACTGTATAGTGCTATCTCAATGAAATACCATACTGAAGGTTTGGTTTGGTTCGGATTGTGTAACGTCCTATCAACAACACTATGCACTGCCTCCTGCGCACCCACAACACACTTGATAGGACGTTTGACAAAATAAAACCAAACTATCATTTAGTATCATGCGGGAAATCCTCAACTGAAATCTTGTACATTAACTTCAAACTCGAAATTTCATATTTGCCACTATGGCAAATGTCATTGTATAAGAAGAACTCAATAAATATATACATAATGCTAAAACGTTGCAAATCGTACATAATACTTAATAAGTCTATGAGGAATACTCCCATTTAGGTAAGTGATATTTTTAAAGGGGAACAAACATATAAAATTGAAAAAGGTCCCTCCGATTACTTACTTAGAGAGAGAGAGAAATAGCTCTAAAAAGTCCAAATCCAAGATGACCACCTGTCGGCCTTTTTGTTTTTCAATCAGTCTCAAAAGTAAACATGCACAACGAGACACAAAAGGGATCGTTAATATTATATTTAGGAAAGACTTTTGCAGTACTTCACGAGAAAAAGCGATAACCAACCTTAAATGTCAAAATCCAAGATGGCTATGTTGTTAGTCCGATCAGTCTCGAAGGTAAAAAATGCACAAAAAAATAACTAGGGAAACTTAATTTGCGTAAGATCCCGCAAATACTAAAGTGTCATTAATAACTCGTACAACCGTATCTTATTTGGAATAAGTTTATTTTACCATGATGTCGAGCTCGTCCTATTAACAGCTAAGGTCTTTAAGGGACGTGCATCCATGTGTGTTATGTATGCATGCATGTGTTTATGTGTGCCGGAGATAGGATATGTTGGTGTACTTGCTGTCACGCAAGCATGTATATTTTGGTTGATATATTGTATTTAGTATTTTTTACGGAGTTAATATAGTGTATGTTATCATTTATAACCGGGGTTGTAAATGTTTACTGAACATCCATTGTTAGGTTTTTGGTAGTATTTTTGTACTATGGCGTTAATCTAATAGGGAAATTGCGAGGTGAACTTTGATGTATTTTTCGGGAGACCTGCCGGTTGTCATACCGTTTGAAGGAGTGATGTTATTGATAGCACTAAGGTAGTGACTGAGCATTCTCCGCCCTATATGTTTTGGGCATTCAGTGATGGTTTCTATGACGGTAGGCTCCTCTAGCTCACGTGAAGGAATGTAGCAAACATAGAAGGGTTAACGGTAAAGCTATTGAGCGGAAGTGATAGCCGTATGTTCTCGAGCACGTGTTTGAGTTATCTCGTCGAGTGCTTTATAACTAGTTACAATGTATCTCACGCGAATGTGGAGTGCGTTCGAGCTTTAGACAGGGTCATTTTGTACTGTATATTTCACTAAATTTTAGTAAAACTTAGAAACCCACCTGCCGCCACGTGTCGTGTTATACTGGTAGGTTTGAATGTACAATAAACGTGCGAAATCTATATCTGCCTAAGTTGTTTGTGTCACCAATCTGTGCTTCCTAAATACTATTTCATACTTTATTTACAATCCATGGAACCTGCAAGCGATAGCGGCAGTCGAACCCGAGTGTGTAGGTAACGTTCGTTACAATTGGCGCCCACGTAGGGACCCGTTCGTTACAATATCACACTTGAATGTCACACAAGTGTTACAAAAGACAAGTTAAGACACTATAATAGTGTAATGTACATAAATGCTAATGTAGCAAAGTGTACTTTACAGTATATACACTAATATAGTGTGAATTAAAAAGAGACAACGAAGTCATAAATAGAAACAGAGCTATAATTATTGTAAAAAAATAGTGATCTTTTAAATTATGGAGCTCAAATCTAAAATAAATATCAATTATATAATAATTATATTACTGAAGTATATTAAATTAAACTAGTACTAATTGTAACGGATGGCCGTTACAGAAGTCCCCCAACGACCCCTGTTGGACTTAGGCAAAATCAGACAACAGCTAAATTGCGACCAATAAGAGGACTCCATTTTGTTTCCATTTCAACTGAGCTGTTCAAAACTGTTACCATTGTGTTTTGCATCCCTTAAAACACCTATGCACCAATTCTGGGCAGAATCAGACAACATTTAAATTTCGACCAATCAGAGGGCCAAATTTCGTTACCATGGCAACTGAGTTGTTCGAAAGTGTTACGATTGTGTTTGGCATCGCTTAAAACCCCTTTTCCTTATTTTGGACAGAATCAGACAACTTCTAAAGTTCGACCAATCAGAGGCCTCCATTTCGTTATCATGGTAACTGAGCTTTTCGAAATTGTTACCATTGTGTTCGGCATCACTTAAAACCCTTATGTACCGATTCCGGGGACAATCAGACAACATCTATATTTAGACCAATCAGAACCCAGTATATGATGGCCATTTTGTCAAATTAGAAATCAAATGTCGCAGTTGAGTTTGCAATGCCATATTACACATTCATACAAAATTTGAACTAAATCGAACTACAACGGAGCTTCGACCAATCAGTAACCAGTATATGGCATCCATTTTGTTTAATTAGAAAACGGATGTCATAGTTGTGTTTGCGGTACCATCATACACCTACATGCCAAATTTGGAATGCATTGGAAAATATCTATAAAACATGTAAAATAGGATAGGTGACATTGGCTAACCTTAGCGAACACCTTTAGAAATTTTAAATTCCCAAAAATTTCAAAAATTCATAGCGGCCATCTTGGACTTCCGGTCGAGATAAAAATAGCTTGTTGCACACCT